TATATTTTTGAAAGCATTCTTACTTTACAGCATTTTTTCACAACTGCCTAAAACTTTTGCATAGTACTGTAAGGCATTTTAAAAAATGTACAGGTAGTCCTCGACTTACGACCACAATTGAGACCGGAATTTCCATCACTAAGCAATGTGGCTGTAAAGCAAGACATCACGTGACCGTATCACTTAGCAATGGCAATCCCAGCAATCCCCTTTGCCATCATTAAGCGAATTCCACCAATCATTAGCCAAGGACCCACCCCAATCCAAGCCATTCCAGGCTTGGTCCCTCTCAGCCCCAAGCTTCAGTAAGGAAGGGAGTGCTTCCAACTTCCCCCACCTGCCTAACTCCCCCCACATCTCTTACCTTTTGGCCGCCCTGCACCCTGCCTTGCAGGGTGGCAAGCAGCTCCAGAACTGCGTCTCTGGGGCTGCTTGCCATGCCCTGGGAAGCCTCAGTTGCCCCTGGAAGTCTCAGCCACGCTAGCCCACCCCAGCAAGCACCAGCAAGCATTCATTTGCCAAGCTGCCTTCTCTCCCAGTTCCCCACACCAATCTTTTGCTTTTTGCACCTAGTTGCCATGGCTGAAGCAGAACTGCCTCGCTGCCTTTGCTGTCTCTTTTTCAGACCCAGCTTCTCCAGCGAACATTTCCTACATGTGGCTCCCTGAGCCTTCGGAAAGCTGTGCTGTCTTTCTGAAGGCTTTCCAAAGACAGCACAGCTTTCTAAAGGCTTAGGAAGCCACATGTAGGAAAGTTTGCTGGAGAAGCTGGGTCCGAAAAGAAGACAGCAAAGGTAGCGAGGCACTTCTGGGGCCTGGGTGAACAAATGCTTGCTGCCATTTCCTGGGGTGGGCTAGGGTGGCTGAGGCGACTAAGGCTTCCAGGGGTGGCTGCAGCTTCCCAGGGCATGACAAGCATCCCCACAGCTGCACGATTCTGGGGCTGCTTGCTACCCCACAAAGCAGGGTGCAGGGCGGCCAAAAGGTCAGAGATGGGGAGCAGATAGGTGGGTGGGAGGAGTTGAAGCACCCCTGTGGTCGTAAGTACAGGTGGACTGCCAAGTGCCCAAATTTTGATCACGTGACCATGGAGGTGCTGCTACAGCCATAACTTCAGGGACCAGTCGTAAGTCCATTTTTTCAGGACCATCATAACTTCAAACGGTCGCTGAACAAATGGTTGCAAGTCGAGGACTACCTGTAATTTCTTTATTTAACTGCACTATCCTGCAAACAAGCTTGCCTTTCTCCACATCTCTTTTGCTGATTTTTCTCTACCCACCGGAAGCCAAAATAACCACTGAAAATAAAAATTGAAAATAAATATAATACTGAGTCTGTATTTTTAGAACCTGCACATATCACATAAACACACGGATGAAATTGTTCAGAAGATTCAGTATAATTGCTGCTAAAAATCGCAGCGTGGAATATCATGAACAGAATAATGTTAAAACTTTCAACATGCAATCAGCTCCTTGACAACTCAGTTACATATCCCAATAAACCCTAACCTGTAAAAATGGCTTTTTTTGGAAATTACAAATATCTGAAAATATATAACAGCAAAACTGCTTTCAGAGTTCTCTAAGACAATAACCTCACCAATTCTATTACAGCAGCAAACAATTTTTTAAAATGTAAAAAATGCAACACCACTATCTTTGGAATGGAGTGTTTTATAAGTTAGGCCAGCATAACATTAGAAGAAAAAGTCTCATCTGGTTTCAGCTCTAGTTTATAGAAATTATGTAGTATGACATTACAGAACAGTGCAGTAACATTCTTTGACATAGGCAGATGCAGTGTTATCCACGTTTTAGCATAATTGGAGCAGATCTACAGATCTGCCTAGAGAATAGGACATGAAGAAAGCTGGCTGTCATGCCCATTTCTGCCCTGTTAGGACCTCAAACCTTGTAAAAATATCCCTTCAAAAACCAGAGGAGCCTTGTTAAGTCAACTAGAGCTTTTGTGCTAACACAGGGAGAATCTGATCTTGAAAATTAGGCAGAAACATCACTTTCCATGAACAGAGATTTTTGCAATCTCCCCTTCCCCCTCAGCCTCCATGCCTCATTTCTACTCTACTTAAAAAGATCTCCCTATCATTCAGGGTTAGTAGGTTTGTGGATTGTTGGGGAGCGAAGAAGCAAGGAAGTTAATTCTGCTCATCTCTTTCTGCAGGCAGTTATATGAATCCAAGTGCTAATAACAGATGTAAGAATAGCTATGGGCAATCTCAAAAGTCCAGATGGACTATCATCCGTTTCCATGGGCAATATTGGCTGGGCTGATAAGATTGGTCTGGCCTGGACATGGATTAGCATTTAAATTGGGTATCACCTAATTATAAGCTGTACTGGAAATCCATTCACTAAGGATTGTTTATCTGCAAAAGAATTATTCTTTCTTTAGAAATAGAAAGAAATTCTTTCTCCATTTTTATTCATTCAACTTAATTTTAAAATCAAGGAGAACTTATAATATAGAAGGAAAATAGGAAAGCAGAAATTCTTTATTTGCCTGGAGTCTGGTGACATCTTTATAAAAATTAGTAGAGAAACCTCCATCAATTTCAACTGAGAATTGCAACTGATTTTTAAAAGTACCAACCAAAATTACTATTGATAATTTCAATAAACCAGAACAATACAGACAAATTCTGATGTCACCTTTGCAGCATACTAATTTGGCTAGCTCTCTTTGGTTATAAATTCTTTCATTATTGGAACTGACTGAAAAATAGGAATCAGAGAACAAGTACAATTATTTTTTTTTTACCATTGGAAGGAAATACACAGAGATCTCTCTCAAAGGAATATCTTGATACCTAGGTAACTTATTCATAAATTAAGTTGTAGGCTAAGATGCAGAACAGAAGGTAGCAACATTATTCTGGGTGGCAAATCACCAAGCAATTTTGACAAATAGGTAAAAGTCATAAATAGTCCTGCATAATAGGGTTCTTTTTCCTTACTCTGTTTTTAGCTGAACAATTTCATCTTCTGCTGCCAAAAGAGTAGTGGCTGATTTGGTCTTTGTGTCCTCAAGAGCCAACTGGGCTTCTGTAAGACTGCAAGAGAATTCAATACCGAAAGATATACCTTTAAATGTAAAAAAACACTACTTCTTCTAGTTTGTTCAATGAAACAGGACACAGTATCTCGAAGAACTGCAGTCCCAATGCACCCCTTTGGAAGATGTGAGCTTGGAACAGGCTGACTTAATCTATCAACAGGTAAAGTACCTTATCAAAATCACGTTAACTAGTACAGCAGAAGTAGCCATCAACCACCCCCAGATCCTCTACTTTCTGGGGAAATGTCATAATTGTGGAGTCCTTGGTGCTCTCTGAGCTTGGTTGTTTGATTGTAGACGTTTCATTACCTGACACCCCCACCAACACTGGCAGGGCAAGCGACTATATATAAACAGGGAGCAAACCCCACACTCACTAGCACTGATGATGTTACCTAGTTGAGTAATCAAACCTCTGCAATCAAACAACCAAGCTCAGAGAGTATCAAGGACTCCACAGTTCAACCCTGAGCTACATATATTCTCTTCTGTTGATAAATGTCATAATATAATATAATAATCACTTTTATCTTAAGTGATCATTTCTTAAGTACAAAGCAAGCAAAATATATGAATGGCACAGGCATGTATAATTTAAATCACAATTTGGAAGACCACAATTGTAACAAAAGCTCAATCTTTTATGGAACATCTCTCATATATTTTCTTTGCAGAAGCTAACATTTGTAATGAATGCTATTTGCATATATTTTGGAGGTTATAATTGGATCACAGCTTCAAAAAGCAACTTATGTATCTGTCCATCCATCGGTCAATCTAGGCTAGTGCTGCTTACTCTGACTTGAAGCAACTCTTCCAATATCATGCAAATGTTGCCCAATGCTTGTTTCCCAGAAGCTTTGAGGTGGAAATTCTAAGGGTTGTTCTGGTAGACTATGGATTCTGCCTAAAATGTCAAACCTCATTGATACTTTGGCAATCAGCATCTCACAACATAATTAACATAATGCAGAGATGGAAAAACCAGAAATGCAGAACAATGGACATTTTATGATGTAAGAAAATCCAACTTATTGGCATTTCCAGGTGGCTTCAGGGACTTTATATAGATAAAGCTATACTGATCCAAATAGCTCCAAATTTTCACACATTTGACAGGATTTTTCTCATTTAATGAGTCAGACTATTTTAGTTCATTTTCTCCCTACATGTCACCAATCAGCTCCTATCATAAACATGAAGGCTTGAATTCAATTTTTTAAAGTTATTAATCATAACTACTTGTATATTTTATTTTGGGGTTGATGAGTATTCTTACAATTTCAAAGGGAAATATTTCTATTTTATTTTCCTAATACAAAATAATACCATCTTCCTTTAATATCTATGAATCTCTCATATATAAGGGCTGACATTCTACTGATCACACAAAGCTAATTCCGAATTACATGCAGGGCAAAACCAGTAAGATTTCATTCATTGAGCCATTCAATGTTAGCTGCACTTTGTGTTAAAACTATCATGGAAAAGAAATAAATAGTTTAATAAAGATCACATACTACAAGCTTTTTAAAGAGGGAATTTCCTGCTACTTAAAAATAAAAAATAATAATTAGTAATTAATAAATATTTGTGGTTGTACCTCTAAAGGAATTTAAGTCCATATAAGTTGATTTATGTTTAGGTTAGTTTTGCTCACAATATATGTATAATTCAATAGGTTTCTGAATAAAATAACTGCTGCTCCTACTCATAAACAAACTGTTAATAATTATAGTTGATGTCCAGCACACAATTTTTGAGGTTTGCAAAGAGACAATTTTTTTTTTCTTCCTTCAGATAAAAATATTCAGATAAATAGATACAACTAGATAGAACTAGACTGTGAGTTCTAGCCCTATCTTAGACATAAAACCAGCTAGGCGACCTTGGGCCAGTCCCTCTCCCTTAGCCCTAGAAAGAAGGCAATGGCAAACTACTTCCGAAAATGTTGCCAAGAGAATTGTAGGGACTTGTCCAGACAGTCACCAGAAACCAAGAATGACTTAAAGGTACCCACGCAAAAAACCTTACCTTCCACAGCAAATGTAATACTGTTATGCCAATTGTATTGGAGATACCTGGCACTGAGCAATATAATATACAATCTCCCCATGCCAGTTTATGTCAAGCAGCCTTTTCTCAGCTGGTGCTCTCCAGACTGACGGGAATGACAATCCCCAGAATTCCCAGCTATTGGCCATGCTGGCTGGAAATCCTGCCCGTTGTGTCCCGTCATACCTGGAAGCCCTTCACATATAAATATGCTGCACAGTTATTTGTATATAACAGGATTTAATATTTTCGACTTATAAAAAGAGGGACAAAAAAAATTGTCCTACTCTTGCTGCACCAAACTGAGCTGTAACCGGGTAGCATTCAATTCTTTTTCCAGTTGTTGAACTTCATGGTTCCGAGCACTGCTGAGTTCTCTCAGCAGTCTGTCTTTCTCAAGAGATTCCTACAAGCAGAGATACATAGTCTAAAAATTATAAATAAAAGAGTGTTTGTTTGGCATATTAATATATCCCAGAAATGTTGTGAGAAATGCTGCAGGGATCTTAAATTGATTTTAAGTAGCTTAACATGGCGGGGAGGTCAAGGACAGTCAAGCGAAGATACGTGTGTCATGAGGTTGCAACACAAACTCCCCCTCCTTCATCCTGGCATTGCAACCCCTGACACAAATCCATGTAAGGGGCAGGGTTGGCACTGCAACATCACAGCATACATTTCACCATTTTTACCCAATCTCGCCTTGGGGCAAATACCCCTGTTTAATTAAAATAGTAAGATTGATTAATTGATTGATTGATTGATTGATTGATATGAGTATATGCAGAAAAAGGGCAGCCAGATCCCTGGGAGAGGAACCCAACAGTATGTCAATATTTGCATCATCCAAAAAGGGTTTTGCTTTTGTTGCAATACAAATAGCATGATTGGATCACATCACACGATCCCCCTTAACATAGCTTTTCCCTAGCAGAAAGGTATGAAGAAGTCTAACAGCACTGTTTAGTAGCAAGGATACTTCAGTTGTTGCTTTAATTTTCCAGTTGAAGACGTTTAACATTTTGGACCTTTTATATGAAAGATACAGCTTCCATATCATGATGTCCTCCAGATGTACAACTCTTAAGACTTTCCAGCCAGGACAGCTGTCTGGCTGGAAAACACTGAATTCAGATTGTCCAGAGAATTTCAGCTAATTATTGTATCTGAGGGTGCATGCTCGTCCTTCATTAAGATCATACTTTTAGTTTGTCATCATTATTACTCCTAATGGCAAGAATACCCAAGTACTATGCAGTATACAAGAATTTTATTTTGTTCCATCTCTCCATCTACCTCAGCATTAACTGACTGGAATCCCCGGGGTTCTGGAGGAGAAATCCAGCAAGAACTGAGACAGAGAGCTTTGGGAAATGGTCATACAGAACAGAAATCAATGTTTTTGTCAGGTTCAGCCCAAGAAACTTAGCGGGACAATTCAGG